CTAAACCCCTAAACCCTTAACCGCTAAACCCCTAAACCCTCAACCCGTAGACCCAGACCCAAAACATAAAAAGGCAAAGGCCAGGCCCCCCGGCTCTGCTCCAGAGATAAGACCTCTTGCAGAAGCGCCTTCTCCTTGAGGGTCCAAGATATTTTCCGAGTACCAGGGTTTAGGGTTTCGGGGGTTTTAGGGCCTGGGGGTTTTAAGTTTAGGGTTTAGGGTTGTAGGGCTTGGGGGTTTTAAGGGGATTCTTTGGGCATATTGGGGCACAAAGGTCTATATCTTTGGTGTTTGAGGGGCCTTTTTTCGTTGCTCTTCGCGCAGAGGCCCATTTGGGCGGGCTCGTTTCCGGGTTTCGCGTTTAGGTCTTGGGCCGAAGGTTCGGGTTCATGGGGTTTAGGGGTTTAAGGCTTCGGGCTAAAGGGGTTGAGGCCTATGACGATGAGTCTTTGTTGAAGAGGATTTGATTCATTTGACGACCTTTCTAAAGGGTGCTGTAGAGTGTGTCAAGGGATTTGTAAGGTTTTCGGTAGCAAGCTTGGGGTTCAGGAGGACGGTACTCCAAGGCTTGGTTATAGGCTTTCTTTACAAGACGTCCCATGATCCTTTAAGCTACCACAACCTCCACTTTTGCAGGATCTTCTTGTACACCTTACATTGGGAGCTTGCAAACTTTTGGTAGGAACCCTGCACCCTAAACCCTAAAACCCTAAACCCCCAAACCCAAAATCCTAAACCCTAAAACCCCAAACGCTAAACCCCTAAACCCTAAAACCCTAAACCCTAAACCCCTAAACCCTGGACCTTTAAGGTAGCATTATCAACCCGGCCTCCGCGTCCAGGGCGACGAGGCGTGCGGTGTCCGTGCCCGGTGCCGGCGTTGATTGCACCAGCACCGTGTCGGCCGAAGGCCTACACTAGGGGTTTAGGGTTTAGGGGTTTAGGGTTTAGGGCTTGGGGTTTAGGGGTTTAGGGTTTAGGGCTTAGGGTTTAAGCTCAGGGCTTAGGGCTTAGGGTTTAGGGCTTAGGGTTTAGGGCTTAGGATTTAGGGTTCAGGGCATTTAGGGGTCTTAACCATGATCGAATAAGGTTTGGGGGTCTATACGAGTGTATGGTTAATGACAAGGCGTTCCGACCTGTATATTGACATCGAAGATGGTGTCAGGTTTGGGATTTAGGCGCCTATAGGGCTCAGAGGTTTCAGGGTGAGGCGAAACGGAGTTTAGGATTTTCAAAACCAGGGTTCAGGACAGTGGGAGTCATAGGATTGTGGTGGTAAAGGATTTAATATGGCCCAGGGCGAACAGTTTTCTATTCATACAGGTTGAGGGCTTGGGTTGCGAACATACCAAAATAGTTATAAGGGCCGTTTAGGATGAGGGGGGTTCGGGATGACTTCGAGGATGTAGGGAATTCAGGAAGGGCAAGCAGGGATCCGAAATCAGAAAGCTAACAAGTTCGTGATTGCTGATGCTTAGAATAGGCTTTGTTTTGGGAGGATTTTTTTGGTGCAGGCAAAATGTTGTTAGGGACCCTGAGAAACAAATGTGATCAATGTTTCATGCCCCTATATTAAACCCTAAACCCTAAAACCCTAAACCCTAAAACCCTATATTGCCCATGCGCACGACTTCCGGGGGACCGGAAAAGCTTTACCCTTGCGCCGAGCTGCTGCGAAAGAGAGGAAAAACCCGCAATGGGCGGAACCTCGGAGGACCAGTGAACAGGGTGTAGGGTTTAGGGGTTTAGGGGTTTCGGGTTTTAGGGGTTTAGGGGTTTAGGGTTTTAGGGGTTTAGGGTTTAGGGTGTAGGGTGCTGGTAGGACAAGCCCAAAAAACTCAAATCGAACTCTCCGTCTTGGGCTACTGAATTGCAATACAACATAAACAGTGGCCTAGACAAAGCGTGTGATAGTGTTAAAGGCTTCGAGTCTGAGTCTAGGTTGAGCTTCAGGATTTCTGCTCGATTTTGTGAAGAACAAGCCCTGAAGCCTAATTGTTACAGATAGTCGAAAGCCTATGCTCCAGCCCGCTTAATGTCCGAAGTGTATGGTCCATCTGTCATGTAGAATCCTCCTTGTATACTGATTTCGCATGATCAGACAAAATAAGTTGCCAGAACTCGACCTTCGGGGTGTCAAGCTTCGAAGTGAAACTGAGGAGGTCCGTTCAAATCAGACTGCCTTTACTTCACCTAAGGACGCTGGAGCGAAACGTCTATGGCGTTGTGACACAGGGGTCGGCTTACCTGTCCAGTGTCCTAGCGGAAGCAATGGCTATTCAGTGGTTATTGGTTTTCAGGAACCCTAAACCCTGAACCGTGAATCCCAAAAGGGACAGAGGCTACTTACTCGACTACTAGAAGGTAATGTCACCCCTATTGTGGAAGCCTCTCCGTAAAGGAACGCTATTCAACAAAGTCAAGCGGTACTTCCTTTGAACCCAAAAAACCCCAAACCCAAAAAGGAACCAATATTCAAGAAAGCTAGAGGATACCTATACTCTATTGTACTACAAAAAGCGCCCTCACAAAGTCTGCGGGTGCCAAGCCTCGGGAGCAGGCATCTGAAAAGGGCTGGCAGCTGGCACCTGCTTGCAAGCAGACCGGACTTAGTCCTAAGCCCTAAAATGACTACTGTAGGGTCCATGTGGGGTTTGAAAATCAGAATAGGGATTTTGGGGAGATTAGAGAACGACAGTGCTGGGACCATGACTGACTATGCGGACCGTCTGTAAAGCCTGAACACTGAACCCATGCGCCATGAATCGAATGCTCTCAAATGCTACAATCGGAACGACAAGCCCTGAACTCTGATGCTACCTATAGTCTCCATTGTGGTTCCTTTTTGGGGTTCCCTTTTAGCATCCTTAATATAGAACTGGTTAAACCAAAAAAAGGAACTACAATGGAGACTATAGGTACATCCTGAGCCCTCATGCCAAGCCCCCAGCCGGAACAGTAAACCATGAGCACATGCTACCCATAAAGGGAACCCTTAAGGGAACCCTTAGGGAACCCTTAAACGGAGCCCATAAGGGCTCCTTGAAACGTTTCCTCCACAGGGGCGCTTGAATCGGGGGACCTTGGTTTTGCAGGGCGTCTTTGAGCTTACAGGGGTGTAGGGTTTAGGGTTTATAGGGTTTAGAGTTTAGGGAGGGGGTGCCGTAAGGGTTTCCAGGTCTAGGAACTTCCTCTCACATGCAAAGCTCGGAGCTAAGGAAACCGAAGCACCCCAAACTGGAAAAACTATGAACCACAAGCGCGCATGCAGGACCGTGTGCATGTGTGTGTGTGTGTGCGGGTGTGTAAACAAGAGTAAAAATGAGCAGCACAATAGACAGCACAGAAAAAAATCCAAAAGCACCCTAAACCCTAAACCCTATACTCCTAACCCTAAACCCAAACCCCTAAAAACCGTAAAATCCTAAACTAAACCCTTCAAAACGAGGCTTCTGCACGCCTGCTCGGGCCGCGCAGTGGGCTCGGGTTCCGAGGAGGCGGTCCCTGGACCAGAGTTCCATTGTATACCAAGAGGGTTTAGGGTTTAGGGGTTTAGGGTTTAGGTTTTGCCAAGAGGGTCCATATGGGTAGTTCTCTAAATTAGGGTCCCGTTTTTGGGGTCCCTTTTATAAGGGTGCCGTCCTAATTTAGAGAATTACTCATATGTACTACTATTTACACAATTACGTAGGTCCCTCAAAACCATTGTAAGGATAGGCTGTTGGGATCTAATTCCATAGTGGGAAGGTATATGGACCCTCTGGGATAGTTAGGATTAGGGTCTCTCAATAAGGTCCCTTTTGAGAGAGCCATAAGTAGGGTCAAGAAGGGTCCCCTTTAAGGGGTCTCCCTCGCAGCTCCCATGCTTCTAAATCGTGGTTTGTTAATTGTTTTGCAGGATCTTATAAGGGGTTCAGGGTTTCGGGGTGGACCCGTAAGCATGTTCGCGGCCTAACATAAAACGTGACGTACTCAACAACCCGTTGGGTTTATAATTGGGTTTATACTTAAACATGCTTGGAACAAGCGCCAGGAACGCACGGGGTATGATTGGAGCGGCTCTCCAAAAAAAAGGTCCCATGAGGCAATGTGAAAGGGGGGGGCCATATAAGGTTCCCACAGAATCCCGTGCTTACTATGGTATGATGTGTATACCTCCCAAACGAGCTGTTTAAGTAGTGAGGCCTCTATGCTCGGGCTTAGCTGCGAGCGCCTGGATAGCCCTTCACTGCCGGTGCGGATTCCCCATCCAGGTACTGTCCTGAAGTAGGCAGGAGTTACTTAAAGTGCAGCGTCTCAGGGCTTTGGGGTTTGGGGCAGTTTGCCGTGTTCAATTGAAGGCACGTGCTTACGCGCGGTGGACGGGGGATTTTTCAAAAAGCACCATGTGCGTTCAAACGCGCTTTTGGTCCTAAACCCTGTAGGTGCTCTGGACGACCCAAAGGCCACAAGTCGGAGGATGCAGGGTTCACTCGAAGCTGCAAGATTGGATGCAAACTGAAGTTGTGAGTACCTCAGTTGGGTAAGCAGGGAAAGAAAACTACTCGATAAACACATCACAACTTACAACCCTAGTTGCAGCAAATCAACTACTCTGATTGTTAAGACTTACCCAGGACCGTGCGAAGGTTCGAAGTAGTTCGAAGGATCGGGATGTCTTCTACGCAAGCTCACCACCGACATATGCAACCATCCATCTCTGCTTGGGACGAGAAAAGGGCCCTTAAGTGTTAGAATAGGGTCTTAGGGTATAAAACGGTGTACGTATACTTATAATTAAGATCTCCGTCTGGGATGTAGACCTTGTTTAAACTGCTTTGGGCAATTGTAAGTGGTCTTGTAAGTTGGGTGGATGGTGTTATGACCCACGCTAGGGAACTTATAAACCACTTATAACAACACGCACCGGTCAACTTCAAGTATGACTACTATGTCCACACCTTGACCGTTGGGGAATCCGAGTGCAGAACCCTAATCCCAGTTGAATGCAGACATGCCGCCCCATGGCTGCTCGACATCCTTGGCCAAGCACAGCTCACAACTTAGGAAGTCGTCTATCCTAAGAAACGAACGCAATTAAAAAGCAGATCCGACATGGTAGAGTCGAGGTAACTATATTTGCCAAAGGATCCCACTCAAGGATGGGCAGCTGCCCTAAACCCAGTGCACGGAACTCTGCAGCGCAAGCGGATCCGGGCGGGATCTTCGGGTGGTTCCTGAGAGGTTGCGTTTAGGGCTTACCCATAGGCCCTTAAGTAGTTCCTTTTTTGGGATTACCTTGTAGGATTCTAAATATATACTACAAAAACGAACTACTTAGGGGCCCATGGGTGGGGTTTAGCTGTGGTTCCTGACACACTCAGTTTAGGGCTTAGCTTGGGCGGGGGAGAAGGGGTGGGCTAAGTGGGGTTGAGGGTGTTTGACCGTAGGGGCTCGGGGATTGATGAGGGCTTTACGGCGTTTTGTGGCAAAACTAACTACGCTAAGGCTTTATGAAAACGTTGTCTCGGCTTTGAATGAAAAGGGTTTCGTACGGCTTTATCAGGTTTCTGCCACGGTTTTCATAGCGGCTTAGAGTTAGAGGCTTTTGAGGCTCCGAAGACCTTTAGAGACTGCCAGTTCAGTTGCGATCCCTCGTTCATGGATAGAAGGCCGCTTCAGGTGCTTGTGCTGAGCGTGAGTGCAAGGGGTTCAAGGTTACCAATGGTCTCAGGTCAGCTACTCGAGTACAACGAAGACAACACCTGGCGGTGGGATTTTCTTTTCCATCCCCCAACAACACTCGCAAACCCCAAAATCCGAAAACCCTAAACTGTTACTCAAACCCTATAATGAAACCTTAAACCTTCAATTCTATACCCGAAACCTCACAACCTTCATCCCTAGCCGGCCGGGCGGCCGCAGAAGACGCCGAACCGCCACATCCGGCGGGTTGGGTGGCTGCCCAGGTGGGAACTCCGGAGGTGCCATGGCTTCCAGTAAGGGTAACACAAGACTGGGTTCTTGTTTTGGAACTTAATTTAAGTTACCTCTTGTTTAGGAGCTTAATTTAAGTTACCATAATAGGGATCTATAGTAAATAATACGGCTTCTTTATTACTGTAACTTAAATTAATATCCCTAAACAAGAACCCAGAAGAGGCTCCACGCTCGCTTCAGGAAGGATCCCTTCTTCGGGACCCAGGCTTCTGGCGATTACGGGGCTTAAGGGGTTTAGGGTTTATAGGACTCATGAACTGAATGGTGTTGCGGCGTCTTCGGAGAAGATGCACAAAGTGCTAAAGAAGGGTTTAGGGTTTAGGGTTTGCAAAATGTCCACTAGCCCCTCCGGCGCTTGTACGAGGCCCGGTGTTTATACTCACCCTTACGTTGAACACACCCCCAAACCCTAAAACCCAACCAAAGCCTGAAGCACTAAAAGCCCCAAACCCAAATCCTCAAATCCGAAGCCCGAAAACTCAAAAACCCCTAATCCTATAACCCCTTAAACCCCCCCCCATACGAGTAAACCGCTAACCACTGGGGGTTTATGGTCCTGCTACAGCTGGTCATGGGCCAAAAGGGCATGGCAAGCTCGTTGTTCGAGATTTTAGAGGGGAGGTGCTTTGGGGAGTTCGGGTAGTGTATGGGCTAAATATGGCTGACTTCAATTAGCTTTGTTTTGATGTGTATTTTACGGCTTGCGGGTGCCAGGCAACGCAAAGGTTTAGAATTTCACTGCTTCTGGGATTTGTGGCTTCAGAGTCCTACGGTTTTTGGATTTCCAAGGTTGTGAGTTACTGTCTGGTGATTTTGGGTGTGAGGGTTCCACGATCAGAAGGTCTCAAAGTCTGAAGGTATTAGGGTTCAAAGGTCCACATGGGGTGTATGGCTTCAAGGTCTTGGGGCTTCTGGGTTGAGGGCTTCTGGGGTGTCGGGTTGGGGACGCTTTGCGTGAACTCTGCAATGCGTCAGGGTTTGGGTGTTTCAAGCATGTTCAAACCCAACTCCTATCAACGCTACACGTGGGTTTAGGTTTCAGGAATCTACGAATTTAGTATCTACACCATACTTCGACTACGACTTCGGGTTGCGCTGTGCCATGATTCCGGAGGAAACAAACTACTACTGCCTACTAATTATTCAGGTTTCTTGGAGAATGATAGACAGACCGTGGTAGATTTCACGCTGGATGGATTTGCAGAAGCTGTTGAGTGGGGCCGTCGAGGGATTGTTGGCAGGAGGTTCAACGTCTGCTGCATGTTTTTTGTCGCTGTGAAGCCTTTACGATCACGGCGTTGACAGCCCGCCTGGAGGAAGTGGTGATCAAGACCTGCGTGTTGAAGCCGACGATTCTGATTCCAGGCCCAAGCACAGGTCGTCCGTCAGCTACAGATCTCGCAAGGCCGCAAAGCCGAAAGGCCCGCAGTCCTTAAAGATCCCTGCAGGTTCGTGAAAGCAGCGGTCCACGTTCAGCTCATGCTCCGTGACATTCCGTGCTGGCCCGGGAACAGCGCATGCTCACAGATGAGGCTGCGACGTAGTCTTGATGCGTGGTAAACCCTAAGCCAAACCCTATAACCCCTTATCCGGAGCTTCTTCCACGACGTCTCGAGGTCAGCGTTTTGCGAGGCGAGCATGGGGACGCCGGACAAGTGGAATGTCAGTGCTACCTCGGTCTTGTCGTCACATGTGTAAACAAACAAGATCGTGCAAGCCACCACAAAAGTTGTACATATTATACACCCCCCCACCAATAAATAAAACCCTACAGGGGTCCTACCCTAAAAACCCTGAGCCATAAGCGATTTCTCGACCCTAAATCACCAAACCCCAAACAGTATAAGCCCGGGTACGGACTGCATCTCGGCTGCATCCGCTCAAGTCCCGATGTTTGCCTCCCAGAGGGTCAATATATACTTATAGGTCCCGAGAAACCATGCTTGTCATGGTTTTGGAGAACGAAATCCATAATAGTCGTATATTCTCTCTCTCTCTCTATCTTATGTATAGATAGATAGATAGATAGATAGATACATAGATAGATAGATAGATAGATAATGATAGATAGATAGATAGATAGATACATAGATAGATAGATAGATAGATAGATAGATAGATAGACAGGTAGATAGATAGATAGGTAGATAGATATATAGGTAGATAAAAGATATGCATAAACATATATATATATACATATTTTTATTTACGTATATATGTATGTGTATATATATATATATTGATTAATGTATTTGTTTGGTCCCTTAAGGCCTTGCCGCAGGAAGGGTTGAAGACTTCGCCCCGCAGAAGCCGGATGCCATCGCTGCAGAGCTTCCACTTCTTGACCTTCTGCCACAAGTCCGTCACATAAAGACCTTCGCTCTCCACAAGACTCTTCACGTATTGCAGGTTTTGGTCATAGGCGGAGGAGAGCCGCATGCCCCGATACTTCGCAGCACAGCCACCAATCACAAAGACGGACCGTCGCGATTTCAGCTTTACAGCGTGGATGAACTCTCTCCAGTCCTCCTCCACTTGCTCTGTGATCGGGGCCAGCGTAATGTCGTTCCCGAAGTAGGACACGCCCAATGTCTCAACTTGAGGGCCCGATCGGATCCTCTCCACTAGGTCGGCCCACACCTTCACACGCTATTGCCTCGTACCAGACCTGGGGTTCCCAAGCACCTCCCCTAGACGGCGGCCCAGCTTCCTGCGCTGCCGTGTCCTTCTTGTCAGGGTGCCGTACTTTAGGGGGGTAAAAAGGGACCCTGGCTTAGATAACTACCCTTATAGAAACCCTTACCGATCCCCTTTAAGGAACCCTAAAAAGGGACCCTGTTTTAGAGAACTACCCAAGCAGCAACCCTGGAGACCCTGAACCTGGCCTTGAAGCGGTCGTTTGACTGAAGCTTCGACGTGCCTGGAAGGGAAGGGTGCCATACATGAATCTACAGGGGTTTCTGTTCAAGCTTCGAAAAGGGTCCTGGAGAGGTTTTTGAGCATTTGCCAGGATTTGCCTGGTTGTGTTTCTAAATGTTTGGAAGGTTCCTGTGCGGGCTCCTGTGAGAAATCCTATCAAGACAAACATGGTCACAAGCATTAGTTAGAAAGGCTGCGAACGGGCCAACATGTTTGAATTGAAGCAGCTACAAGTAGACTTTAAACGGCTTCCACACCCCTCAAACCCTAAACCCTAAACTTAAACTCTAAACCCCAAGCCCCTAAACCCTAAGCTCTAAACCCGAAACCCCTAAACCCAAACCCTGACTTCGCAGGCTCTCCTTCAGCAGAAGCGGCTCACTGAAGCCCTCGTGCTTCAGCGTACTGTCACATCGAGTCGATGGCCTCACCAAGAACCTTAGATCATAATTGGCAGCTGGTCTTCTGATGCCGTGATAACGAAAGCATGACACATCCCGTAGACGCCTGATTCTTACTCTAACTGAGAGGAAATTCCTTAGCCTGTCAACGAACCCGGTTTATCAGACATTGCAAAACGATAAAGACTCACAGACTGCTATTCTACACCGCGGTTGAGCATCAAGCAAACACTGAAACCCTAAACCTCCAGATGCCCTAATCCCTCGCCCCTCCTCACAAGGACCCGGGAACTTGCGCGATGAAGGCCTTGGGCTCCTGGTCCCAAGCCTCGTCTGGAACCTCCAGCTCACACCTGGGCTCTTTGAGTAAGCTTGAAGGCTTCATTAAGAAAGTTTTTAAGGAGTTATATTTAGGGTTTAGGGTTTAGGGTGTAGGCTTCTGTAAGGTTTTGAGGGTTTTCATTGGGCGTTTCAGCGGAACTTCCTAAACCCGAAATCAGCTGACAAGCTAAGGCACCATCTGATGATGTGTCCAAGAACACGTCCCAAATTCCCAGAGTTCAGCACCTGGGATTACAGATTCTGCTTGGTTCGGTCTATACTTCACGGTAAAGCACCTGCTCGAGCTTTCCAGTTTCCTCTGTCAAGGGCTGGCAAGAACCCGAACTTCCAACGGGCAACACCTTGTCATTGGGCCTAAGTCTCGTCCGAAAGCGCTACTGGGGGGGCCGAAATAATTAGAAAGGGTTTTAGGCTATGTTGTACTATAATCGTAATAAAGAGCCCGCAATCATTAAGGCCCCTTTATTAAAGGCTGTTGCTGTCAGGAACCCTAACGACTCGTATTACTCAGTATGCCGACTTCCAGATCAAATCACCGAAAATCCAAAGCACTAAAGTTCCGAAAGCATGCCCAAAAACTTTCAAACCCAACATCTTACACCCTGAGTCACAAGCCCCAAACCCCTAGTCCAGAGCCCCTGCACCCTAATCCCTGAAACCTCACCTGCCCGGCGAAGCCAAATGTGGGCGTCAGGTGGTACGTTTGGTGCCACCAGTGGCCTGGAAAAATCAGAGTCTCGCCAGGCTCCTGGGGGCTTAGCAAGGTCTCAGCGTTTAGGGTGTAGTGGTTGAGGGTTAGGGTTTAGGGTTGTAGGGTTCCGTGGTTGAGGGTTCTAGGATTTGGAGTTTAGGCCAGAATGAAGTGTAGTGAGGGCGTCCAGGTTCACACCGGGTAGCAGGATTACGGTCTATAAGGCTTCAGGGACTCTAGCAGTGTAGGGCCTAAACAATCGGAACAGGGATTTGGAGCTGCAGGCTGGTGTCATCGAAACTGAGAAAAGCTGAACAAACCGTCGCGACTGAGCCCATGCATGACCCTGAACTTCCTTAGAATGCCCCAAACTGGAAAACATCCACCTGCATCCCTTGGTTACAGGTCGCGGTCCCAACTCCCCACGCGCTCCTGCACATGCTCAAGCGGAGCTGAGCAGCCTTTCACGTGCGGAAATTTGGCAAGATCCGGAGATAACCATCCAAAGGAGTCACAGGGAGGCTCGGCGGCAGTGTTGGTCCGATTGGCAAAGAGGTCCACGTCGCTGCGCCATCCGCTGCCGATGGTGCAGACCTCCGCACCTCCCTTGCCTTAGCTGTCATTTGTCACCTTGATGCAACCTCAACTTGCTTGTTATACGCGTAGCTGCAACACAACATCCTGAAAACAGAACCCGTCGCTGCATTATCTCCTGCGCCCCAAAGCCTAAACCCTATAGTACCCCAATACCCTAATACAAATACCCTAGAACCCCTGCAGCACCTCGCGTACACTAGAACCCTTCCGAAAACCCTAAACCCTAAACCCTAGTACCCCAATACCCTAATGCTAAACCCTAAACCCTATAAACCCTAAACCCTAAAAACCCTAAACCCTAGTACCCCAATACCCTAATACTAATGCCCTAAGCCTTATAAGCCCTAAACCCCAAAGCGGCGAGCTACGTATGCCAAATGGCCGACTGGCAGGCCGAAAAGCTTCGGCGTTCTGCCTTAGAGTTTAGGGTTTAGGGGCTTGGGGTTTAGAGTTTAGGGTTCAGGGGCTTGGGGTTTTAGAGTTTAGGGTTTAGGAGCTTGGGGTTTAAAGTTTAGGGTTTAGGGGCTTGGGGTTTAGATTTTAGGATTTGTAGGGGCTTGGGGCTTAGAGTTTAGGGCTTAGGGGCTTGGGGTTTAGAGTTTAGGGCTTAGGGGCTCGGGGTTTAGAGTTTAGGGTTTAGGGGCTTGGGGTTTAGAGTTTGGGGTTTAGGGGCTTGGGGTTTAGAGTTTAGGGTTTATAGGGGTTTGGGATTAGAGTTTAGGGTTTATAGGGGCTTTATTAGTTTATGTATCGGGGGATTGGGGTCAGGGAAGTTCGGGCTTGAGGGATGTAGGGTTAGAGCTTTTTCGCAGAGGGAGGCTAGATAGAACTGTCGGAAATTGGGGGCTAGGGCGAAAGTTTGGGGTTGTGGGTTCAGTCTACTGGAAGGTTTATGAGCACCCTAAACTACCAACCTACTGTTTTGGATGATCTTCTTCACAACCCTTGTATAGAATTCAGAGAGACCATACAAAAAAACAAAAAAACAGATTGGGTTGGTTTGGGGTGCCTTACTGCAGGCTTACAAGTGCCCTAAATAGGGACAACGGTACAGAAACAGTCACCTCAGGTGTAGCCATACTCATTAAGTCCATCTAAAACTTCTGTTCCTTGCTTGACATACTTCGAACTATGCAAAGAGCCACAGGGTATGTAGCACTTTCAGAAAATCACGAAATTGGAGGACCCCATCAAGACGCACGCTTGGGTCAGGCTGTTGAAGAACTAAGATACGGTATGTCCGGGAAGAATCGCCAGAGCTTTCTCCCTTGCAGCAAGCAGTTCCACCCGGTCCATGACCTACAGTCGGCAGGGTGTCTAGCCGCAGCATGGTTGCCAGAACAACACCTAAGGTTTAGGGTTCAACTGGATTGTAGTGTCACACAGAAGCTGGGAAAAAGCTGTACGAAAACAGACTCCAGTAGCAGTGGATCGATATGCAAATCTGATCTCGCTCCCTGTCCGCCAACGACGAGACCTTACTTGTCCAACGTCTACCCATAGGCCCCTAAGCAGTTCCTTTCTGGGATTACATGATTACCTTATAGGATTCTAAATACAAACCATAAACAGGAACTACTTAGGGGCCTATGGGTAGGGGAATAGACGTTAGCCCGTAGGGCTATGTATGGGTTGTAGGACCCGAAAAACTCAAAGGCTGCTTCCTGTACTGCAAAGAGACACAGCTGTGCCGGCCGTAACATCCGAGGGAATTCGCAAAACAGGTCTTCACGGAGAAAGGGCGGCGCAGCTTCCAACAGAGAGTTGGCCAAGGATGTTGTAGGCACAACCTGGCTTCGTGTTGAGGAAGCTCCTTCAGTTACCATAGAATAGCGATAGGGAGTAAGCATGAAAAGGTAAATCATCGGCTTTCTTCTCTGCGGCAACTCAGATCAACTTCCTTCTTCACATACACCCAGCAACGTTTTCGTCCATCAGCAGCACGGGATCTTCGTGGCAGGAGTTTGGGACCTTACTTGGCGAGAATCCCAGGAGACTTAGAGGATTTAACCTTTGGGCTATGTTGAAAGTCTACTATAACCCTAAACCCTAAACCCTAAACCCCAAAGAAATAAAGGTTGCCAGCTCTAGTACCAGGGGACGAAGTCGCAGAGCACCCTGGACAGAGAATCCGTGGCGAGGCTGAGCTCGCCATGCGCAGCGCGCTTGTACTCAACCTCCTGGCAGCCTGCCTCCTCCAACCTTACTTGCTGAGAGTACTATTTCCGGGTCTTCGGACCATTCCTTAACCCTAAACCCTAAACACTAAACCCTAAACCCTAAACACTAAACCCTATGTAAACCCCTAAACCGTTGTTTCCCAAAAGGTTTGGGGTGCTGAGAGAGTAACTGAGGAGGCTTAGCTGGCCAAGGGTCCTCGGCCAAAAATACTAGAAACGAACCGGGTTACCCATAGTCTCCTTTGTAGTTTAGGGTTTAGGGTTTAGGGTTTAGGGTTTAGGGTTTAGGGTAGTTCCTTTTTTGGGGTTACCTTTTAGGATCCTTAATATAGAATTGGTTAAATCAAGAAAAGGAACTACAATGGAGAGTATAGGTATAGTAGGGTTATAACAGAGGGTTCTAGTTAGGGCCATAGTAGGGTTATAATATAGGGTTATAGTAGGGTTTCTTGTGAGCAACCGGGGGATTTTGGCTGGAGAGCCAAGTGACAGTGTCTTGCAACAGAAGTTGGAAGAAGCCTCTTGAAACGAGTTCGGCAGAACAAGCAAGCAGTCTGCAGCAGATGTGAAATCGTCCTCCGGGTCCAAGCCGGTGCGCTTCGATAGCAAAGCCATGGCAAGGTGACTATGACTAACTGTCCAGACCTGGAAAGAAGTACCTGAACTCGCAAGTGGTCGTGTGAGGTGCAAAAAGACCGAGACGTGCCGGGGTTCTTGGGGCTTTTAGAGCTGCACGTGGGTCGTTGTTCATACTGTTTGCTTGCGGCAGGAGTGCCGGCATTTCGCGACTCTGGCTCATGATACCTCACGCCTAACGACCAGCCCGGCTCATAAGTAGAAAGGCCGGCTTGAACCTGAGGAGAAGATAGTTGAATTCTCAGATTCTCCTGGGCTAGATTGCCATCAGGGAATACGTAGGAATGAGGCCCAGAATCCTGCATCAGCCATGCTACAGAACCAGCCATTAAGCTCGGAGTTCAAAGTCCGCGCAGTATTGCAGGCTCTTGTCTGTCGGCAGTATCAGAGGAACGCAGTGACTGTGAATAGAATTGCGACATAAACTCGCCCCTACAAGCCCCAAGCCCTAAACCCTAAAGCCCTAAACCATGAGACCATGCTTTTTGGGCCACTTGGTCTCCAAAGGCTGCCGATAAAGCTGTGCACTACCTTTTCAATCAGAGTGCCTGGAAGATCCCAATTCTTAATGATTGATTAGGGCTCCTGTAAAGGTTCCTTTAATTTACGCGGATCTGCAAGGGCTTTATGATGAAAGTTTCGGGAGCTTAGAATAGAGAGGTCGCAATGATTACATTAGGGTTTCGGAGAAGTTTATTAGCTTTGTTAAGGACCGCTACGGAACAACATTGACAATTATTCAGACCCCTATATTATGCTGGGTGGCTTGAGGGCTCCTTGCAGAATCGGAACCCGTAAGAAAACCATGTAACCACTAAGGAATGCCACCTGCCTAACCGCGAGAAAGAAGGCACCTGAGTTAGGCTGGCACTGCTCATCGGCAATCATCACGGCAGGTCATGCAGGAAACTTCTGGGAGGCCCCTGCATTTCTACATCCACAAAATTAATTACTATTTGTTACCCATCAGCCACGGTAGATGTAGACTGCAAACGCAATACTGTAAGTAATAACCACAAAATGACGGGATCCGGAGTATGAGCCCTGAAAGGAGCAAGCTATTGCTTACATTTCTGAATTAGCTGAGGTTCCACTTTGCCAGAGCGCATCGGATGGCAAAGCTCGGCAGGAACAGCGACTTCGGTGGTTTAAGTGTACCTATAGTCTCCATTATAGTTCCTTTTTTTGGTTTAACCAATTCTATATTAAGGATCTTAAAAGGTAACCCCAAAAAGGAACTACAAAGGAGACTATAGGTAAACTTGAAGCGTGTTCAAGAGCGAGCGGATCCTCAGGGAGAAGCCGAGCAGCTGGAAAACCCACTGTGCAAGCACGTTCCACTGCTGTTTCAAGCATGACACTCGTGCTACTGTTAATGGCATAAATCCTGCATTACCTTAAGGACCCTAAACTATGGGAAATATGGTACAGTCCTTATTATGGGTAATGCAGGATTTATATCATCAGCCGTATGTCAAGGCTAGGAATTCAGATCTGAGTGGTGCCTCAAGGTTGAGCCTTAGCTTAGGCATCAGAACCCACACAGCTAAATCTAAATCCTAAACCCAATGCCTGAGGCCAAAAACATACCCTAAACCGTAAACCCTAACTCCTAAACCCTAAACCCTGAACCCCAATTCGTAAATCCTATGAGCCCTAAACCCAATGCCGAAGCCCAACACATGAGAAGGCCCCAAGCTTAAAGCCAATCCCCGAAGTCTCAAGCATAAACCCAGATCCGAAGCCAACCGATATCCTAATGAATTTTAGGGTTTTATAGGGCTTTATAGGGTTTTATAGGGTTTTAAAGGGTTTTATAGGGTTTTATAGGGTTTAGGGTTTAAGGTTTTAGCTTGATTTAGGGTTTAGGGTTTAGGGTTTAGGGGTCCAAATGGCTGCTACCACCATTATGATGATTACTACTATCGCAATTGTTACTATTATTAAGTAATGTTGTTGTCATTATTGTTGTTGTCACTGCTGTTAGTAGGATTATTAGTATTAATATCCTAAAGACTTAGAGAGAGACTTCAATGTCCCTTCCCTTGGGGTTCTTGTTCGATCACGGGGCTCATTTGGAGTATCGGTAAGGTTTAGGCCTGTCGGGATTGTAGTTGGGTTTGGGGTTTACAGTTTGGGCAGTTAGGGATAGGGTTGACAGTTCGGAGCTGATGCTTTAAACTTCTCCCCTATAAGCACCAAGTCTGCTCCTAAGCCCCAAGCCCTAAGCCCATAGTTATATATCAAAACAATATCAATATGTGTATATATATATACATAAATGTCTGCTGAAACGGTGTGTTTGGAAGCTTGAACTGAGATTGAGGGTTTTGGGCGCAGGTTTTGAGGTTTAGGCTTTGAGGCTACAGGTACTGGGTCTAGCATGCAGCGTAAATCTCCACAACAGCCTTGGAACGAGGTTCGTCGCCGTGTTCCTTCCGGAAACGACTCCCGCATCCTCTCTACCTACTTGAAGGATGAGGGGGCGTACGGTTGATGATATAAATCCTGCAGTACCCAAAATACGGAATATACCAGTTTAGGATCCTTAATAAGGTAATGCAGGATTATTATCATCAACAGTAGTCATTAGCGACTAGGCTATGGGCACAGCAGTTGGGAGTGTTCTACTTTTCGTCACACTTCAAGATGTCTCAATGGGGCGGGAGCTGATATGGCTCTCATATAGACCAATGAAGTCAGCCGTTTCATGCACTGCATCCTCAGAAAGCGCCGTTCACTTTCTCTCTCTGTGTCTCTGCCCCTGCCCCTCACGTCTATATCACTTTCTACGTCTCTCTCGCTCTCGCTCTCTCTCTCTCTCTCTCTCGCTCTCTCTCTCTCTCTCTCTCTCTCTCGTTCGATCTCGTGTCGTAAATCTATGTACACCTGAGCTGGGTGAAAAAAATATCTAGAGAAGCGATGGCCATCACCACCATGATGATGGCTTCCTTGCAGTTGCGAGAAAAATACACTGGACAATCCAAGGCTTCCAACCCCTCGAAGGGATTGCCAAGTCATGCAGCACGCAGTACCCTACGTGTGGCTGCTAGAGCCCAACTTGATCACTGGCAGAAGGGACGGGGAATTGTCATGCGAGTCGGCACAACCCGCGGAGAGCAGAGTTTCATAAACAAGGCTCCGTTTCAAGCACCCGCCTGAGAAGTAGTGTACTGCGAGCAGAAGCCCAGGCACAGGAATTTCGAACACCACGAAAACAACAAGAAAGATCCGGGCCTGGCAACCCAGATGTGCAAGGGCTATTTGGCTGCGTAGATATTGTAGATCATGTTGCCCTTAAACTGCAAACGCAAGAGAGCGAACTGTAGGCTGTAAGCCGCACACGAGAAGCAAACAGCAATAGCAGCTGCAAGCAGCTTACTACGACAAAAACGAGCGAGGCTGACAATGCGGTTAATACTCGTAAAATCATAACCGTACTCATAACTTGAGTTGTATTCACAGTGAAAATCATCATCAGCATCAGTCATAACACTAATAACAACAAGACTAATCCCAGTACCAACAAGCCAAAGCACTGACATAGCTCTGGCTTGCGTGCCATTAGAACCAAACTGAAATAGCAAACACAAGACTAATCCCTTGCATTTTCTTAGAATATTTGATTAAGAATCTTAAAACCCACCAAAGCTGGGCCCCGGCTTCGTCGGGCTTTTCAGAAGATCGAGCTCCCGCCGCAGGTCGCGCTTTTCCTGCTTCGATTTTGTTGGACGCCGTTCAGGGTTTATAGGGCTTTGGGACCAGTTTTGGGAAGTGTAGGGTCTACAAACTGGTGATGCTTGTAATGGTTTAAGGTTTCAGCCAAGGCGCCGTAAAGGATTAGATTATGCATTAGGGTTTGGGGTATATGATATTTTGACGAAAAAAACACCAGGAACCCCGACGAATCATTGGCAGTACAGTAGACTACGACGACGACTACTACTACTACTACTACTACTACTACTCCTCCTACTACTCCTACTACTCCCACTACTCCTGCTGCTGCTGCTGCTTCTGCGGCGAACAAGCCTGGATCTTCTTGCGCAAGTGGTGCCAGAGCGTGTTTGGGTTTCGCGTGAACATACTGCACTGCAAGGCCGAACAAGCCAAACTCACACCGTGTCGAAGCACGACTATAGCTAAAGCACAGCGTCGAAGAATAAAAGCGCTCTGAAACATCTGCTCCCAGCCCCTCTCTGGGAATGCTAGAATCGAGGAATGCCTGCCCTTAAACGGAAGCCTGTGATAGGGGCCTTAGCAAGGAGAGCAGGGCGTATTATTGTACTGTGGTCATACTAAGGAACCCCACTAACATAGTATTGGTGATTATTTAGGCCCAAATAATGGTACTCAAGACGCCGAGAAGAAGCCAAAGACTCCGGACAGCCGATGCTTGTAAGGCCCTGTTGCAGCTGTGCCTGAACGGTCCGAGGAGTCCGTCGACGACTACAAACAAAGAAGCTCCAGACCCTCTAAACCCTAAGCTCTAAACCTCAAAGCCTAAACCTTAAACCCTAAACCCGCAGCCAAGGCCCTAAGACTACACCCTAGACCTAAACCCTTAACCCTGAACCCTAAGCCCTAAAGCTTAAACCCTAAACCCGAAGCCAAGGTCCTAAAACTAAGCATGCTTCGACCTTTGATGGCTGGGCTTCAAAGAATGGGTCCTCTGCAGCCGCCACGAGCCTCGTGGCAGGTGGAGTTGTGGACAAGGTTCGTTCGAAGCCGCATTTGGGAAGCCTACAAAAAGCTGCCTTCATATTTACCTATATTATTTTATTTGTTGTTAGTATCTTATTATTTTTTTTCGGGGGGGGGGGGGGTGTTCCTTGTAATAATTATAGTCTAACATGCCCCCCAAACAAACCTATTCTTCTTATTACGGCCCCTATAGTAAGCTCCGAGCCTAAATCCCAAACCCCAAACAACCCTTTTGCCCGAGACAGCAACCCGAAAAACAACTTGGAGTTGCAAGG